GGCTGCAGGGTGAGGGGGAGCAGGGCAGGCAAGGGCATAGAGGCTGCAGGGCGAGTGGGGAGCAGGTGTGTGCAGAGGCTGCAGGGTGAGGGGGAGCAGGGCAGGCAAGGGCATAGAGGCTGCAGGGCGAGTGGGGAGCAGGGGGCACAGAGGCTGCAGGGGTGTGTGCAGAGGCTGCAGGGTGAGGGGGAGCAGGGCAGGCAAGGGCATAGAGGCTGCAGGGCGAGTGGGGAGCAGGGAAGCACTTAGCAACCCCCAACCAAGATCAGAGTGGGAGGGAGGAGGGGGAATGTGGGGTGCTCAGAGGAGCTCAGAGTTGGGGCAGGGACTTTGGGGAAGGGGTTGGAATGGGGGCGGAGAAGGGTGGGGTTGGGGCAGGGGCGGGGCCCATGGAGTGTCCTCTTTTTTAAATGTTTGAATATGGTAACCCTCGTTTATTGCCGTTACATGTATTTAAATGCATGGTTCCAACATAAGTTAAAGTTCTCTACTTTAAAACACACGTCTCCTATGAACTTCTTTCAGAGATGATTTCAGTCTCTAGTCACCTGCATGCTTCTGAGCTTGAGAAAAAAACAGCAACATCTGTGTTTTTTAACAAACACTTAAGAGGCAAACAAAATTCTGGTGACCCCACATACTGTGCTTGCATTCTCCACACTTCTCTCTTTCTTTAGGCCACAAACAAACAAAAAAATCAAATGCTGCAGTATGAATAGGCTTGGTAGGATTTGATTTTTATTGGTAAATGTCAGTAAACATTGATTTCACTGTACACACACAAACCAGCAAAACATATTGCTATTGATAATAATGAAAATTTACAGATAGGCAAATTTTAAAAAACCCACTGCTTGAGAACTTAAGAGTTTGATTTAAGGATATTATTTACTTTTTATATTTTGACGTGATGTTGACAATTTGTGTTTTAATAATAATAAAGCTAACTTTTTGAATTTCATTGTCTACTGTTCTTAAATAATTATTGTCTGACCCTCCATAATTTTCCCAAATTGTGAAAATGTAAATAGACAAAAATGCTTAAAAATAAACATTGATATTATCTGCTGACATTATAAGAACATAAGAATGGCCATCCATCCATACTGGCCATCGACTCTAGGCTCCACAGCCATCTTCTCTCTTGTGTGATGACCTGTGTATCTCTACTTCTTGACTGGGATTTTTCCAGGATGCACAGTTCCCCAGCAAAGTCAGACAAGTAAGGCCTGCTTTATTTTTTTCCCCTCTGAGATGGTAAACAGTATAACTGCTCAGTTAAATTACCACACAGCTCTTTCTAAGGAAGCACATTCTCAATTTAAAAGCATTACAGAGAAAATATATTAAAAACAATAAAAGAAGCTACCCACCTGCTAATAAACTTACCAGAGATTACCCCAACTCTAGCAAGGCCTCAGGTAGGAGTCAATCCTTCAAACCCCACCAAGAGATTTTCCTGTGGTTACAAATTCACAATGGCCTTGGCTCAGAACAAGCACCCCCCATGAATCTGAGTCACTCCTTTATCCAATTGGAGTCTTTGATATGCAGAGAGTGCCACCAAGGACTCCTTGTTGTTTCAGCCAGACAATGGGATTCTCCTCAAAAGGTACAGCTTTGCATCCCCTTCCTCCCAAGTACTTCCTAGGAGATGCACTCAACTAAAAACTTGTCTACACTGGCAATTTACAGCGCTGCAACTTTCTCGCTCAGGGGTATGAAAAAAGGGTTGACTAGCCCTAAATCTTGTCTGGTCTGTTGTTTCAAGAGAGTCCTTTTGAAGCTCATAACACTTCCCAAGCTTTACATTAGTCCTGTCTCCCCCTTAAAGAAGTTACATACAATCCCACAGCAATATATAAACATTTGCATTTTTAATACAATGAACTACTAAGATATTTAAACTTAAATCAGTGAGGTTTAACTTAACTCAGTAAGGCTTGTCCAGGATATTGCAGGGAATTGCCATATCTGTCACAGTAAGTATAAGACGAGACAACATATGGATACATAATGACATATGGGCAACAGGAACAAGTCTGTCAGGTGGCAAGAATGAGACTGGTCTCAGGTGAAGATGATTGGTCATTCAAGGCGTATAAAAAGGAAAGGCTGGGACTATTTGTTTGGAGTGGTATTAATATAGAGAATATATTTTCTTGTATAGCATTGTGCTAGGGAAACAGGCTGCTTGGAAGGAAATTAGCTCAAAGCTGTATATCTGAAGAAGAGGACTCCAAGAGTGCCTTAATGTTTTAACCTCTGGCTGTGAGAAATCATTTGCTTTGTGTTTGGTTTCAGTGGCTTGGGTCCCTATCATGCAATGAGTACTATATAGAGAGATTTCTTATTAGTTGAAATGGGGTTCTGTGTGGCTCTGTATGCATAGAGTTCATATGAGTATTATTGAGGCCTGGTTTGGGTTTATTAAACCATTGTCCTGGCTTATGGATTGTGATAATAGGGTAAGAAGTTCCCACCATTGGATGTCAGGTTCAGATTTTAGGGCCATCTGGGGGTAACTGTAACAGACCAGTGCTATGTCTATGATTGTCTAGGTGCACCTCTAATACACACACAAGATGTGTGGGTTTGTGCTTTAAACTCTTTCCAAGCCCACTTTCAATCTAGTTGACATACAAAGTGCAACCCCTTGTACCTATTCTTCAGAATCAAGTGGTTTATTTACAGGTATTTATCCAGTATTCAGGTCAAAATGCCTTCTCTATATCTCATTTACGCAGTCATTTTATCTGACACTCCCTATGGCCCTGATGCTAAAGCAGCTGCAGCAAATGGCCATGGTGAAATACCAGTAGAGCTGGATTTCTGTTTCTTCAATTTTCTCACAAAACTCTGCTCCTCTAGTCACGTACCCCTGCATAATGAAACATGCTCATGTTTCCATCAGACCACTGTGTAGGATCCTTATGCTCCCCCTTCTGTCTTCTTTTTTGTTGTTGTACTCTAAAATGTACCTATATAAAATGTCAAGTATCAGGGGGTAGCCGTGTTAGTCTGTATCTACAAAAACAACAAGGAGTCTGGTGGCACCTTAAAGACTAACAGATTTATTTGGGCATAAGCTTTCGTGAGTAAAAACCTCACTTCTTGGCTACTTCCTTATTCAACAGATCTTTGTTTAGTTGGTCAGATCTGTTTACTTCAGGGGTCAAAATTAATGTTAACTCTTCAGAGCCTACCTAGTTGAGAACAGGAGCTGAATTCTATCCTGGTTCATGCATCACCTACAGACTGTTAATTAAATTCCAATTATCATGTCAAGTCTCCTGCTCCAAGTTTATCTGTATAACCCAATTGAAGATAGGGGAGCTGCACAGGTGTAGTAATGTCTGACAATGGGGCTTTATTCAAGATGTATGATCCAGGAAGAACCTGCTGATTGCAGTTCTGGTTTGTAGGGCTGGCAGTTAGAAAAAGCAGCTTTTACTTGTAAAGTGAGCAAACTTTCTCTGGAAATCATTGTGAATAGAGCTGGCTGAAAATGTAGTAATGAAAGTTTTTTCTTTCATT